GGGTCTTAGATCTTAGTCAGCCTGTGCTGGCTTGCCAACCAAGCAGAGTTTACCCTGGATTCCAAGTCCACAATTTTTGTACTCAAATTCAAGCTCTAACTTCTCTCAACTAGGTCTCACCATCAGCCAGTACATCCTTTGTGTTATAATTTTCCTATCTGTAAAATGGGCTGATATTATAACCTTCAGGGATGTTGTGGAGGTAATAATACAGAGGACCTGAAAGGAAATGCTGTAAGCATAATTCACAATAAGCAATCAATGAACATTTAAATGCTATTGTTATTTCCAGCATCACCATCATCACTATCGCTCTAGGAAACCCCCAAATCTCACTTTCCTTGTAGGGTCTGGCTGGTCTTACCTGATTCCAAAGGCTACTTGGACATGACAGATGAGCCATATACTTCAGCTCCCAGCCATTCTCTGATCAGGACTCCTGAGCTGCATGTGGGTCTGTGACCTGTGTACTGTACTTCACTTTGGACTGAAGACCCATCAGATGGAAGTTTATTGTACAGAAACCCATTCCTGCCTCTTTCCAGACCTGGATTCACTATGGATGCTTGATGGCCACATCCCTTAGAGCACATTTGAACAATGATTGTTTAGAATTGCTCCCATGACTTATGGTTAAGTTCTGAGTCCAGTCAAGCCCGTTGAAACAGGCCACACCTAAAAGTTCTTTTGAATACCATACTCCATCAGCAGCATGGGCAAGTGCCTTTCCCCTTACAATTGACATACACAAGTCTTCAGCAGTGAGGTCTGGTTTTAACCAATGTTCCTTGTTGTGACTGAAGCCACCATCATTTTTTTACTCCAATAGTAAGCTCTAGCTGTCCCACTTTCCTTTCCTTGTTTATCTTCTATTGATCTAAGCTAATCACTTAATTAGCCCAGACAAGAAGACTTCTGTGGTGTTAAATAACTCTGAAACCCTACTGGAGATGCTCCAATGGCCTGATTGCATTTAACTTCCAGCTCATTTCCTGCAGAGTAAAATATGTTAAATGCAGGACCTGAATTATCCAATGAAATGGTTCTATTTGGTTTTGGTGGGGGATGGGAACCCATTTATACTGCCGGCTTTCAAAATATGGGTTTTGACCTACCAGGACCAACATCAAAATGAGATGTGGCTCTCGCTGGCCTGGAAGCGGGCATGGAAGGCTAAAGGGAAAGGCTTGCCCTCGGGGTTCTTCTCGTTTGTGTGCCAGGCAGGGCCAGTGTCAGCTGCTGTGCTTTGTGGCTTCTGCATTTGTTTGCTTTCTGTTGCTGTGATAAAACACTCTGACCCAAAGCGTCCTGGGAAAGAAAGGGTTCATTTCGTCTTACATTTTCAGGTCATGGTTTATCATTGAGAGACGCCAAGGCAGGAATGCAAAGCAGGAGCTTGAAGTAGACACTGAAGCAGAGAAAACGGAGGAGTATTGCTCACTGGCTTGCTCCCAGGTCACCTTGCTTATGTAGCCCAGACCCAGCCATCTAGGGATGGTACCGCCTACAGTGGGTTGGGCACTCTTGTATCAATACACAGTCAAGGAAATGCCCACAGACATGCACACTGGTCAAACTGACAGAGGCAAGTCTTAAAGTGAAGTTCTCCCTTCCCAGTTATGTCAAGCTTACCACCAAGATTAGCCATCTCAAAATCCACCTTGTTTTATAGGACAGGGTCTTTTACTGGGACCAAAGGCTTGCTAATTAGGTCTAGCTGACTAGTGAGTCCCAGGGGTCCACTTGTTTCTATCTCCTCAGTGTAGGCATTACAAGTGGGTACTCAAATGTCTGCCTTTTCAATGTGGGTTCTGAGGATCAGGCGTCAACACTTGACCAGCTGAGTCACACCCCAACTGAGGTTGGGGAACCTCAGTTCTGGCATGCACTCTTGGTGATGCAGACTGTGTCAGCAGCATGATATCACAGCTGTCACGATGCCTCTCGAGCTCACAAACTCGTTTTTCTTGTAATCTAGCTTCTGGCAAAGAAAAGAACATGAGCAAAGACGGGGAACAAGGAAAAAAGGAGCTGCAAGGAAAATCATAAAGAGGCTGAGTGGTCAGAGTTCTCTCGATGCTGTCATAACGTGAAAGGATGGAGGAAACTGGGGAAACAGTCCAGGAAAGCCCCAAGAATCTTCAGAAGATTCCCACAGGAAAGGCATGCTGTGGGTACTTAGTAAATGCACACAGTACTGACAAAGACTGAACCTCAGCACAGACAGTCAACTTTAACTATTCATGTAGGGATGCTATTGAGCCTGGCCAATGAGGAAAAGTGAAGAGTTCTCCCGTGGAACACACACTGTGCCCTTTTCTCCTCTGTTTTGAGAAACAGCTTAGCTTCAGAGAAAGAGGGCAGCTTCTCAAGAGGACCCTGCATTCTTATCATTTAACTTAAAACTAGCCACAAACTCATTAAGCATCAGCCTCCTTGACTATACAAAGAGGATATTTGGTTCCTGCGGATGGGAGTGCTGAATCCTGAATGTTGCATCTTCTAGTTTGGGGCATATGGTTTTATGAAGCTTGTTGGAACAAGGTTTTGGCAGTTTCTACCATAATGCCTGTCATGATGATATTCTGAAAGCAGTGTATATAAATTGACAAGGAGAAAGGTGTGATGTGACAGACAAGACCAGATTCTAACACATCTCCCAAACGCTTAGTGCAGAATCTGCTCTACTGAAACAAGGCCTGCTCTTCCTGGGTCCTTTATCTTTGCAGTTCTAACTACACCAGTCTCTTGACACCACCTGGAACAAAACACAGCTAGCAAGATAGTTTTGAAACAACAGGCAGTCTTTCTCATAGTTCTGAAGGCATGGAGTCCAAGATCCAAGATTATGTGTTCTGTGAAGTCCCACTTATAGTTCATAGATGGCACCATGTGCTCACAGGGTGTGATGAGGGCAGACAGCTCTATGGCTAATCTCTGTAAGAGATTGTACTCTCATGACCAAACCCTTCCCAAAGGCCCAACTCTGCCTGATCCTATCCCACTGTTTCAATATATGGATGGGGTAAAAACAGTGTCACAGTGGGCCAGAGGCAGAAACAAAGAAGGAACTTTGCAGGGATTTGATAGCATAGACAATATGGAAAACCAACCCAGGACATGCAGTATGATTCAGCTAATTGTTCCCTGTGACTAAGTGCTTATTCACCAGTGCTTCCGAGCCAGTGGGTGTAGAAAAGAATTAGCTGTAGAGGCAAGAGCAGGCTTTCAAGTCCTGTTGCTACAAAAGCCAAAGAGTGATGCATTTGAGCTCCATGATAAAGGAATGATTGTTCATAAGGCTTTTGTTTGACTGACCAATCATTAAACCTCCAGCTGGGGGATTTCTGGGTATGTTCCCCCATTCCTTCTAGTTCCTTAGAATTTTATCTACTGAGCACATTCTGTTCAGATTTCAGAATTTCAGCTAAGATCCAGCTAAGGAAAGAGCTATGATGCTTAGGCTTGAGCTGAAGAGGAACTGCCAGACGCTGGCCAGTGACTAGTAACTGTTTAATAAACACATAGAGCAAGATTTTAAACAAGATGCACTGAGTCTATTATTCAAGATCAGAAACAAGTCCAGTACTGAGCACCCTAAGTAGTAGGTTGCATAGAGAACTTTAAAAGATAAACCCCTTTCAGATTCCTGGAATCAGTGAGTGTACCCTTATGTGGGTCAGGGGCTTTGCAGATGGAAATAAAGGTGCTCTCGTGAAGGTATCGAATAGCCAAGTGGCTGTAAGTTCAAGACAGGTATTCTAAGCTAGGCACATGCAGGGAGACAGGAGAAGAAATGCAAGAACACTGGCCCTGTGCAAACAGCAACAGTAGGAGACACAAGACTTCACCTGCGGCTAAATTTGAGACTAATGCTGACTTAGACTGTATGAGGGAATAATCTAAGGTTTAAGCCACCTAGGTTTTGCAGTCACAGGATACCGAGGCACTGGAAGTGGCCAAGACACTGTGTGTCTGTGATGATGTCAGGCTGGGAGTGGCCAATAAGCCAAAGGAAATTTTCAAAGAGGATTTGTGTTGAAAAGAAAAATGCTATTTTCAGACATTTGTTTCCATGCTACCATTCACCCGTGCTAACTCTAACCCCCTTATCTGAAATTTCAGAGCCAAGATTCAGTTCCATAATTCCTTACTTAAAGAATTTATCAAGTTGGAGAAGGGCACAATTCCTGCATAGGTACTGAATATTTTCTGTGCTCCTTCCCTTATACTCCCAGTATTCTGTGTGGGGTTGAGAGATAGCTTTATCAGTAAAATGCCTACCACAGAGTTTGATTCCAGCACCCATGCTAAAAGTGGGGCATTCTAATCTATGCCTATCACCAAGTACTTGATGATTGGAGAGACAGGTGGGACCCTGGGTTTTGCTGACCGTCCCATCTAACATAATCAGTGAGTCCAAGGTTCCGGGGAGACCCTGTCTCAAAAAACATGATGGAGAGCTGTTAAGATGGCTCTTTACCTAAAAGCCCTTGCTGCCGATCCTGGCAACCAGTTTCATCCCCAGGACCCACAAAGTGGAAGGAGAGAGTCAGCTCCTGTGGTAAGTAGGTACATCAAACACACACACACACACACACACACACACACACACACACACACACACGCACACACGACAGATGGATGGTGGATAGAAATATAGATGATAGATAAGAAAGAAAAGAAAAATTTCAAAACCACAAAACAATGCAAGATCCATGAGCAGCGCATTGCACTCGCCTGCTTGCCATAGTGACCTTGGCCATCTTGAGCTCTTCCAACCTTGCTTTTGCACACTGGCAGCAGGAGAAGCATCTGACCAAGGAAACGTTTCTGTGCTATTATCTTACTCAGCCGATGGCATTCTCTAAATCTCATCTCTACCATAACTAACTTTTGGCTCACAGGAAACACACTAGCTCCAAGAAAGCAACTTCTTCTGTTATGCCTTTCGGAGGTCCCAAAATATCAATTTTTAAGTCAACCAGCAACACCAGGTAAATGTTTTAGCTATCACTTTATTTTCATCCAGGCTAAGGGACAGTTTGGAAAAGGTCCTATTCTAAGTATGTAACTGAGAAACTGTGGCAGGCTGTCTATGCTACTGTTTGTGAAGTTAGCCTGTCAGTCATCGTGATTGAAACATAACCCCAGTGGCTTCCACAAGTGCAATAAAATGCTTTGCAAAAGGCTGCAGAATCTTGGGATGTAATAAAGTCTGCTCAGCTTCATTTTCAATGCTGCAGAGTCCAGAAGAGTGAGGCCCATTTCCTTATGCCTTGGGATTTGTTTGAGTTACTTTCATGCCTGGAAATGACAGAACATAAAAACAGACATTTAGGTAGAACCAGTAGCATTTCTTTTGAGGCATAGCAATAAACAAAATAGAAGTTTGTTTACTGTTAATCTGTTAGATTGCCGTTAAGATTTTATGGGAGATGATATTGATGTGTGGGCAAGCTACGGGAAATAAATGATTTCAGACCTTTTGATGCCTGCACTTATTCTCAGGGTCCATGCATTTTCCTTGCCCTTTGCCCATCACCTACATCACTAAAGGTGAGCAGAATGAACCCTTAAGTTTCCGCATTACCAATTCAAACCTTATATACAGAGAAAACCAATTCAGACTCGTATGTACTACATGAGAAGGGCATGCCAAACATTACCATTGTCTAAACTCTGCTGAGCTTATAAACACAGATTCCTGGACTCTGCCCCCATATTCTGATTCATCAGATCTACAGAAAGGGTAGGAATCAGTTTCAAAACAAGCTTTCCATGTGATTGAGAAGAGTCTGGCACCTGGATTTGAGAAATCTAAAGCACTGTGTAGCTGGCTGATACATGTTTTATATAATAGCCAAGGTATCTTAAGGATACATGTCCAGCCTCAAACATTTCTACTCACAAGGTTAAATAACTCCCCATGGATGTCCTATTTTATCTAGCAAGAAGACAAAAAAAAATTCTTGGTGGTATAGTGGGGTAGTTTAGATGTAAATCCAGGTGACCGTGGAAACACATTACACAGCTCTGCTCCTGCCTTCGTTACTGCAGCCTTAACCCCTCTAAACTTCAGTTCTTGGCTTCAGTAAAATGGGTGTGACAAGCAACCAGGATGGCAGGGCTCAGTGGTCAGGAGCAGAGTCACAACCAGAATGAAAGCAAAGTAGGAGGGTAAAGAGAGGGAAACTCTATGAATTTTATGTCTGAAAATTTGGGGAAGGGTACGGGAAAAAGTGCTAGGCGAACTGGGCAGCCACCGTGGATGTGACCAATGAAGAGACTCTGAGAAACACTGTCATGAATTACAGACTTTCAAAGGTTTTCTCTTTTTAAATTCTTGTTTTTATTTACATATATGTATGTCTGCGCAACTGTGTGCAGCACATATATGCAAGTTCCCGGGGAGGCCAGAAGAGGGCGTTAGATCCTGCGGAACTGGAGTTACAGGCAGTTATGAGTAGTACATGTGGGTACCGGGAAATGAACTGAGGTCCTCTAGAAGAACAGCAAGTGCTCATCCCTTCTGAGTGGTAGCTGCAGCTCCTCCCTCAATATTTTCAAGTGATTCCAAAATAGAATTAAGCTGCCTTTCATGTCTGGTTTGCCATTTGCGGATTTTAGTGCAGCATGAAAGATACAGACCCATGGCCCTGGGTGTGAAGGGCTAGCTCCCTGTTTATTTCAAGGGTCTGTTTAAGACTATCTTGGTGTATTCAAACACACCTTGGTAAGAATACAAACATTGGTCTTTGGCATATAGGGGAGAATTTTCATGAGTCTAGAAATCTATTTCCTGCAAGTTGGTAACAAAGTCAGAGAGTACAGGGTGTGTAATGATATGTAGTCCTTTGAGATAATGACACAGAGGCAGAGTGACTCCTAACATGGACCACTCTTGGCTTTTCTCTGAACACAGAAGGTGGGAAAGCGGAGTATTGGAACCAGCCAACTTGCTCTCCAGAGAAGCACCCTGTCTTATTCTCACATGACCCTGGGGCCATTTGCTGCTGTTCCTAGCACTGCTTGCCTTGTCTAGAGATATGGGTCATCTTCTGAACATTCATCACAGACTTCGCCCTTGAACAATTATTGACTTTGAGTCAGAGGCACCTGTGCAAGCCTGAAAATGGATGTACCCTTTCTTTTCTTCTGCCTTGCCTGTCCAGGGCAGATTTATGTCCTAGAAGTTTCTATCAGTTTTATTTTGGAACATTGTGGTCATGTTACTCCACCACCTCTGCTTTTCTGTATTCTCTGGCTCTCCTATACCCCTCTCTCCACAGGAGGCTCTGTCAGACCAATATCACTGTTCTGTAACTCAGCCTTCACACAGCCTTAGCATCCACAGGTCCTTCTGTGGATGAGAAGTCAATGCCTCGTTTATGGTAGTTTCATTTCCATAGCTGGTTTGGAGCATCGTGGAGAGCAGTATCTGCCTTTTATACCCCAAACACTGGGTAGGTTGTGTGTCCATGGTGGCGGGGTCATTAAGCACACTTAGTAGGAGCTTCAGGGTCTACATAAAGTGCCCACAAATGTGCCTAGAGTATTGCAATGTTCCCCTTCTGTGGGGCTCTTGTTTGCATTATCATTGCTTCTGCTATCTTTGTGTTGAGTAAAGACTCAACACTCCGCTAAGCAGTAAAAGTTGTGCCTCTACAGTGTAGAGTGTAGGTGGTGACACACCCATCTCCCCATTTTCAATGAGCCTAAAACAGCATGTCCATCTTTATGTCTTTACTTTCTTTCCATGTTACCTCCACCGCTAATGGTAGAGCCTTTCATTTTACCCAGGGATGTCAGTCAAAGGATTTGCTGACAAGTAACCAAGATTCCTAGGAGGGAGTGAGGAAATGAATGGTTCAATGCCTGATGTACTTCTAGCCGACTTAGAAAAAACACTTTATGCAGATTGAGGCCAGGGCACTGATCACAAGGAATCAAATGAGCCAGCTATACACACAGGCAGAGAGCTCTTGGTCCATGCATGCCCGTATTTTCATGTCTAAGTTCTTAATAGGCATAGTGTCAGGTGATGTGGCCCCCTTCCATAAGAATATGCTTGATAGATGATGGGGGCATGGCATTATATCGTCTGGACACATTCTTTAGTAGTGAAAGGAATTTTCTATTGCTGTTATAGTATGAGAGATACATGGAGAAGAAAGCTTTGGATTTAGAGGAGAAATTAAATGCCTTATTGAAAACCATCATCAAAGTTTTCAAAAAAGACTCTAGAAACCCTTTTATCCATGTCTCCCTGAAGCCCATGGAAGGTCTTGGATGTTTCCTTGTGCTCTGTGTATGGTTTAATGTATAGGTAAAATCACAGGTGCTACTGGGCTGCTGCTCTATGACTCTGAACTGATCCCTGCTAACTTGTTGAGTCATGTTGGCCAGTTTTCCATTACTGTAATAGATTCCTAGGATAAACAATGTATAAAGTCGAAAGGCTTATTTGGGTTCAAAGTTTTGGAGAGTTTGTCTGTGATCAGTCAGGACTGTGGCTTTGAGCCATGGAAATGAAAAGAAATGGCAACCTGGAAGCAAAAAGGAGAAAAAAGACCAGAATCTTCCTGTGACTTCCCAGACCACTCAGTGGGACTCATCTCTGAAGTCCCATCACTTCCATATAATTATAGAGCCAGTTTAGGGACCAAGTCTTTAGCCCTCTGGACTTTAGGGAGCATTGTAGATCTAATAGCATGCTTATCAAGCTCCAGAAAACCTTTCTCCATGCCCTCTGAGTACATTTAAGACAGTGCCTTCACACCCAGTGTATCAAGGAGGCCAGTCTCTCCTATTCCGACTCTTATATGTTCAATCCAGGAGAAGTCCTCTTCTACACTCAACCTGAAATGACAAATTGCTGTCTCTCTCCTGTAGGTGAGCCTGGGTGAGAGCTGCCCACAGACAAAATCCCCTGATAGTGTATAAAGAGAAGGATCAGACTAGAGAGCACAATTGCCCTTCCCCCTCTTTATAGTAGTGATGCCACACTTGGCTAACTATTGGCATTACCTAGGGGGATGGAAGCATCCCTGTGCTGTGCGCCTTCTGACTGGTGTAGAGTGTGCAGAACTGTGGAATAGAATCACTAGACTTGAGAGTGACAAGGTCCTCATCTATCTCCATTCCTCACCCATGCTTCCATTCCAAAATGTGTTCAGAGTGCAGTGTGCTTTACTGCTGAGGACAGGGTCTACAGAATATTTGTCTCCCTCACTCACATGACTGGGGCCTTTGCTGTCTTTGCAGGTAGTGGTCCTTGCCAATGATGACTGATGGCATAGTCTGTTTGGCTTTCTTACCGGGGCTGAGACAAAAATGGTTTGCTATCATCTGTGTGTGCATACACACGTGTGTGAGCACATAAGAGAACAGAGGTTAATGTCACGTATTTTCTTCAGTCACTGTCCTTCCACCTTATATATGAGGCAGTATCACTCACTGAAACTGGATCTCAGCAATCCCCTTAATTCTGACCAGGGAGCCATCTGGATGTCCCCTGATCCACTTCTCCGATCTCTATACTCCTGTGCTGAGATTTTAGGTGCATGTACTACACCCAGATTTCTCTATGAGTATTGGGAATCCAACTCAGGTCCTCATACTTGCATGACAAGTACTGACTGAACCATCTCCCCAAACCCAGAAATGGTTTTTAAATTGGGGAACCACATTTACCAATAAGAGCCCTGAGAGGCTCACACAAAAACCTTCTATTCAAAAGGCTCTTCTTCTAAAATCTTAGTTCCTAGCAGGCTAGTGAGGCAGGCTGAGCAGCCATAGAAAGGCATTCTGCTCACACCAAAGCAAGGTGAGCAATTTTCTAAGGGCAGGCCCCTTGACCTCTCTTCTTCAGCTTTTTCTTAATAAACTGGCCTTAAAAACTGTAGCAAAAGCTGCTGACGGCAATGTGTTAAAGTTGGTGGGTAAAGGAAAGGCTGATGGAGGGATGCCAAGGTTCAGAGAGCTGCTCTGATTAGTATCTCTGAGACAGTACAATTACACTTCCGTGGAGAGATAGCAGGGTTCACTGCTAGAAACCCAGCAGTATGAGGGTGAAATCCAGAGAGCAGGGCAACTTCCAACCATGCTATCAGACTCCAAATTACTCCTCTGCCGTAGCATGCTTCACATTCTGATTAATAACACCGCTTCCTGAGAAGACCAAGGGCTAATTAACTTCCTATTCAACAGGGTCCATTTCCCAGTCTGCAGGGTCATAAAAAACAGAATGCAGCCCTGGACTCCTCAGGGCCAAGCCTTGTTCTCTGGCGATTCTGGGGCTCACC